CTCCACCCCGTGGGCGCAGCAGTTTGCAGTCGACATGCAGGCGATAGCAAAGGTTGACGAGAGCATGGGGTGGTATGCAGACAGGGACTCAGACCTTGCCATATTCGAACAGGGGAGTGCGGAACAAAAAAACTGGCTGCAAACAGACCCATCAATATTGTACAGTTACGAGCGAAACTGGGACGTGCTTACGACACGAGATACGACGCTGCAGGAGGAGGAGGGCAGGGAGGAGGAGTCACTGAAACCCTACTGGTGCGATCATACGACGACGGGCGAACACGGCACGGAACAGAGGTGTGGCATGCGCTTTGCGACATGCGCAGCACTAGCTGGGCATCGCCGAGAGTCCCACAACATCCGACCAGTGGTGGCGTCCGTAATCGTCAACAACCAGTGCCCCTGGTGCAAGAGCACATTTATTAATCGTAAGGTATGTGTCGACCATGCGACCAGGGCTGTCCACGGCCGCGGCATTTGCCACCAAGACAGGTCGATGCGGTCCCACCCTATCTCCGACCCCAGCTCCCTCACCTGCCCGATCTGTAACCGCGAGGCTCAAACTCTCGAGGAGTATCACGCACGCATCCGCGAGCACATTGCAGGGCCAGAGTCGATCAGAGCGGCACGGGGTGAGGGAGCTCATGTTGCACGGGGGCCACGGCGACTGGCGCATCAGGGCCAGCACGAAGAGAGGGGGGGGGGGGCGCAGCAGAGGGGCAGCCGCCCACGCAGCGCCCGCGCCTCGGCGGCGGCGGAGTCGGCTCGTCAGACACACCGCAGTCGCAGCAGCCGCCCCAGCAGCCGCCCCCCACACAGCGCCGAGGCGGAGGCGGTCGAGGGCCCCCCAGGAGGAGGCCGTGGTGGTGGCGGCGGCGGCCAGGTGGAGCTGCGGGACCAGCTGAGATCGCTCCAGAGGCTCACCCTCCAGAACTCGAACGAGATTCGCAACTTCTTGCATCTCACGGGAGAGTTCTGGCTGACGCCGCTCGAGCCAGATTGGGTGCAGGCGCCGATTGAGACAGGCAAAGAGTACGGACGGAAGGTGAAGCAGTTGGGCAAGGGGCACGGCCTCGGCCCACCGCACGGCCAGGTCGCGGCGAGCCTGGTCGAGGAGATCGTGGCGGTGCTCGACGCGGAGGAGCAGAAGTTCGACGCGTCCCTCCTCCACGTGAGGCAGCTCTTGAACGAGTTCATGAGCCAGCTCGACGAACCCTGGGGACCGATCTTCATCACGGAGGTTTTCCTGCAGTGCAAGATCCAGGAGGCGTACAACAAGTCGGGCGAAGACGTGGAGATGGACATCAAGCAGTGCAAGGCCAAGCTCGTCTACACGATCAACACGGCGCCGGGCTTCAGGGCGGTGCGGTACGACCAGAAACTCGAGCAGGAGCAGTACGACAAGATCTCGGGATTCAAGGGGGACATGTTCAAGCAGGCGCTGGGTCACGCGCTGGCGCACCTCGGGGCCACGAAGAGCCGCTCAGGGGGCCCGAAGACGGGCCTGGAGAGGGCGGTGGAGGCGCAGCTCAACAGGAGGTGAGCCTAGGCACGCCTCAGCCTAAGCCCAGCAGCTCGCCCCGCCTCGAGCGAGAGAGCCCCGCGGGCCAGTCCCCACCAGGCCCGCAGCCTAGCGGCGCCGCCAGCTCGGTGTCGAGCAGCGCCCCCGAGTCACGCCTCAACTCTATGGGGCGCCCTCGTGCCTGGCCACCGTCAGCTCCGCCAGTGACTCGGGAGGAACAAATCGCACAGCAGATCAGCACAGACCTTGTTCGCATGACGAGTCTCAGGAGCCAGGCCGAACAACACGGAGGCCAGATGGCCCACCTGTATCGGATGGCTACGTACTATCGGGACCTACGGCCAAGGGACTACTACCAACCTATGGCGAAAAAAAAAGGGTGGACGGCTGACCTACTTTTCCAGCCGCCATCCTACTATTACACGGGCTCCCACCACCTACGCCCCCCCCCCCCCTCCCACCAACTCCTACCTCCAACCTATTATTCCTCAGGCTCTCAGCTCTCGACTAGTTCCACTCGCAGTCGATCTCTCCCCCCGCACGCGGCTTGTCTGTCAGATACTATTGCGGGTGCCCGCATCGGCGCCGACGTATTTGTGACTTCGTACTGGACCTCGTACAACAGAACGACAGTACATGGCTACAGATTACATGCTGCGTACCGCACGGGGAACTATCACATCACAACATTCAGGACAGCCATGCAGCAAGACAGTACACGGCAACGGAGTACACACGGCGTTCTAGGGACACGACCGCACTCACTGGGAATTATCACACCACAACATTCAGCACAGCCATGCGCGTGTGGTCCGACCACGGTTCGACCTCCCTTCCTCCGCTCAGCTACTTCCAGCCTTAGCTACCATAGTTGCTACCTCCCTCGACCCTCAGCGCGATGGAGGGAGCGAGGAAGAGTCGCATACTAAGGACAGGCCCAGGATTGCGACTCCAGCGAACGACCGAGCCTACGCCTATTCCTACTCCAAGGCTCCCACTACGGTCTCTCACCGCCCCAACCCTTTGGGAACTAAGGAAACTCCTACATTACCTAAGGTGAACAACAGCTAGGCGGGGTCAACTAAGGTAAAACGAGGCCCAGGACCCAGTCCGACATAGTACCAGCGGACATTTACGACTCGAGCTTTCTCGCGACATCCAGGGCCTGCTTTTCTCGTGGACTCACGACCTCGGCAGCAATGGCGGCGCAGGCGACCATGGTTGAGCAAGTGGGGGCGACGGAGCAGCAGCCAGCTGCAGCTGCGACGGAGCTCAACCCGCAGCCCACGGTAGTGCAGAAGCCACACGACAGGGGGGGGCTACGGAGTGGCTGACCAGGTCACGGGCACGGCGACGCACAGGCTGGAGATCGCGCGCAGCACACCCCAGAGCACGTCCGAGGCGTTCAAGGAGGCGACCAAGCACGGCGAGATGGCACTCCACGTCCTTCACAAGCAGAGGGAGAGGGTGGCGACCACGCTCGGGCGCATGAACGGCAGGAGCCTCAACCCGCATGAAGAAGCTGAACGCAGCCAGGCAAAGCACTACCTCAAGGAGCAGCTGCGCGACATCCACCAAGCCATCAGCGCGTTGAGGAGCGCGATCGGCATCGCGGACGACAAGCTCGGCAAGATGGTGCACGGACCGATGCCGTGGGAGCTCGATTACATGAGGCGCCGGGTGGATGAGATCGACCACATCTACACCCGCTGGACCAAAGGCCCGCAGGGCTACGCCTACGACGAGGCCTTCTTCTCCACCCAGAGTGCGACGGCAGCGACGGCGGCGGGGACGGAGAAGCAGGACCTCCTCCAGCCCGCGCGCAGGCCGCCATGCCCGAGTCCGAGCAAGAGCGTGCAGGGCTGGGAGAGCCGTGGCGTGGTCGTGGCCGAGGCCCCAGTCGCCGCTACTAAGGCCGACCACAACACAGGCGCAGCTCAGAGCAGGGACGTGCGACTCTCGTCGCCAAGGGCAGCGGCTGCGGCAGGCTGGGGCATCGGGATGTCGTGAGCTGAGAGCTGGCCCCATCGCTTCAGGCCTGGTTCTTTTTCTTTTTTTATTCCCTCAGCGAGAGCATCACACGCTCGACTGGCAGTAGAGATTGGCACAGCATTCCACGCGTGAGCCAGTGCGGCCACGCCACCTCCATATATCTCTGCTGAGAGACATGTGTGATCAGGCGAGGGTAGTGGGGACGGGACGCGTCCGCCAAGTACAAGGCCGCCCCTTTTTTTTTTGTCTCTCTTTCTTGCCGCCTTGAGGGAGTGGTGGGGAGGAGTGGGGAGCGAGGGTGGGTGGGCTCTCAGCGGCGGGGGGCGCGCCCAAAGAGTGAGGCAGCTCCCCTCCGCCTGCGCCAGCATCAGCGCCTAGCCGAGGCAGGGTTCCCCTGCTAGCGAGGCTCGGGGACCACGCCTCAACGGAGGCGGGCCCCGTCGCCTCAGGCGGCCCCCCACAGCATACAGGTGGAGGGCCCGCATCCATGTTTTTCCCAGGGGTCGGCATGCCTGTCGGTAGGCGAAGTTGACAGACCCCCAAGGGCCTTATCCTTATCCTTATATCCTCCGCCTCCTCCTCTTTCTCTTCTTCCTCGTCCTCCTCCTCCTCGTCCTCGTCGTCCCCCCCCTCGCCCTCCTCCTACTCATCGTTCTCCTCGTCGCCCTCCTCCTCCTCCTCCTCCTCCTCTTTCTCTTCTTCCTCCTCCTCCTCCTCCTCTTCCTCCTCCTCCACCTCCTCCTCCTCCTCGTCCTCTTCCTCGTTCTCCTCCTCGTCGTCCTCCTCCTCCTCGTCCTCCTCCTCCTCGTCCTCCTCGTCCTCCTCTTCCTCCTCCTCGTCCTCCTCCTCGTCATCGTCCTCCTCGTCCTCCTCCTCCTCCTCCTCCTCCTCCTCCTCCTCCTCCTCCTCCTTCTGCTCCTCCTCAGGATTGCCAGGGCTCAACAGCTATGGCGTTCCGGCGCGGTTCAGGACCGTTGAGATGCATCAGTCGGGTTGATTCGTGACGTTGGGGTGCCAGGAATGGTGTTTTGGCTAACTTTAGGATCTTCCAAGGCTTGTCTCCCAACGGGGCATTTTCCTCAGTGGACATAAGTCCTTGTACGGGCCTATGAAGAGGGAGCTTGGAGGGGGGGTTTATTCCAACGTCGTTGATGACTCTTGGGTTTGCACTGGTCCTCCTCCTGCTCCTGCCCCTGCTCCTCCTCCTGTTTCGCCTTCTCCTCCTCTTCCTTCTCCTCCTCTTTCTCTTTTTCCTCCTCCTCCTCTTTCTCCTCCCCTCCTCCACCTCCTCCTCCTCCTCCTCCTCCTCCTCCTCCTGTCCTGTGTTCTCCTCCTCCTCCTTCTCCTCCTCCTCCTCCTCCTCCTCCTCCTTGTCCTCCTCCTCGTCCTCCTCCTCCTCCTCCTCGTCCTCCTCCTCCTCCTCCTCCTCCTCCATCGCACTGACAAGCGCCACGTCGCCGGACGTCTGGGGGGGCCGCACCGCGAGCCGCGCGCCGCTGAGCCGGCCGGCGCCGGCGGCCAGCCCGCGGCACCGCCGGCCGCGGCTGGGCCCGCGGGCGCCAGCGAGCAGATGGCGGCGTCGGCCGCGGCCTGGGACACATGCCCAGACCTCCTGGCGTCGTGAAGGGCACCCAGACATGTTCGCGTCGTTCTGTACAAGTTATGATGGAAGGTTTGTGGCCATGTTCAGCTCCCGGAGGCCCTCGCTGGGCCCCGGGACCGTCAAGAGACGACTCCGGATGACAAGCCGGCCCTGAGGAGAGTTTTCTGGGGGCCGCGTTTTGCAAGAAGCCGGACATCGCGTGCCTGAGGAGAAAAATCACGACGGAATGTATTTCGCGCTCCGAGATCTGGGTGTCGTATCTTTTTCACGCCGGGCGTTTTTGACCGGTTTCGTGCCCCTGTAGGCCGAAAGCGGCGAGACAATTTCCACCTCGAGTTTCTCCAGACGTTGGACGTCTGGGCACGACGCCATAAGGTCTGGGGATGTTCGAGTAGGAGGTCGACTACAGAATTGATTCACCCCAGAATTGGAATTGTCGTCGAATCTACGATGAATGCGTAGAATGTGCGTCGATAGACGAGCATTTCATTCATGCTTCGTAGATTCGGCGAACAAATCGAGTCTGGGAGCAATCAATCCTGTAGCCGATCTCCTACTCGAACACCCCCAGGCCCCCTGACGTCGTGCCCGGATTTCTAAGGTCACGAGGCAATCGAAGCGCTTCCTTGTGTTATTGTCGCTGTTGCCGTTGTTTGCTGTCGTTGTCGTCGTCGTCGTTGTCGTCGTTGTTGTTGGTGTTGTTGTTGTTGTTGTTGTTGTTGTTGTTGTTGTTGTTGTTGTTTGCTGTTGCTGTTGCTGTTGCTGTTGCTGTTGCGGTTGTTGATGTTGTTGTTGTTGTCGTTGTTGTTGCTGTTGTTGTTGTTGTTGGTGTTGGTGTTGTTGTTGTTGTAAGTGTTGCTGTTGGTGTTGTTGTCGTTGTTGTTGTTATTGTTGTTGTTGCTGTTGTTGTTGTTGTCGGTGTTGTTGTTGATTGATTGTTGAATGTTAACAACTAAACAGTTAATATGGTTGAACACCCCCCAGGCGCTTTGGCGTTTTCGCCTCGGCGCTGGCTACATTTTTATTGAAAGTGATGCTCACGCTCGAGCGGTTTGGGGGGCGCCCTGCTCGAGACTTCCTCCTTTTTTACCCAGGGCCGGTGCTCTTGCTCGCCGCCGAAAGCCGCCGTCCCAACAAAACCAGCGCTACCGCTCGAAACTTCCTCCCGTTTTACCTTGGATTGGCGCGCTACTCTTTCTCTCATCGGCGCCGCCCCCAGCAAGAACAACGCTCCCGCTCGAGAGTTCCTCCCTTTTTCTACTCAAGGCGGTGCTCCTCTTCGCCGCCGAGAAACGCCGTCCCGACAAAACCAGCGCCCCCGCCCGAGATTTCCTTTTGTTTTACGCTGAACTGGCGCCCTACTCTCTTTTGAATTGGCGCCGCTCCCAGCAAGAACAACGCTCCCGCTCGAGGGTTCCTCCCTTTTTCCTCAGGACGGTGCTGTTCCTCGCCACCGACAGCCCCCTGTCCCGACAAAACCACGGCTCCCGCTCGAGACATCCTCCCTTCTTACTCAAGGCGGTGTTCCTCCTCGTCGCCGACAACCGCTGTCCCAACAAAACCAGCGCTCCCGCTCGAGACTTCGTTTTCTTGTACGCTGGACTAGCGGCCTAGTCTCTTAAGCATTGGCGCCGCTCCCAGCAACAACAGCGGCCCTTCTCGAGACATCCTCCCTTTCTATTCAGGGCCAGGTCCTTGCCTCGCCGCCGACAGCCCCCATCCCCACCAAGGCAATCCTGTCGCTCGATGCTTCATTGTGCTTTACCCTTGGCTGGGGCTCCACTGGCGGTCTCGCATCGGCGCAGCAAGGCGCGGGCATGCGTCTTCGAGGCGGGATACGTTGAAATTCCTCGGAGATGTTTGCAAGACCTCATTGGCGGGAGATTAGGGAATGGGAATAACGGACCCTGCTATAGAACAAAAATCACCCATGATGGGGATGGTTATCATGATGGTCGCATGCTTCGTGTGGAATCATCGCGCATGAGGGTAACATGATTGTTGAATTCTCATTTCTGAAGAATAATTATTGTTGATACCCCCCCACCGGTGCATACTGTTTTTCTCAATCAGAGTGTGCCCCTCGACGCTCGCACCCTGTTTTTTTGACAGGGAAAGTCTTCATGCTCAAACTGGGCCCCTGGCCCCCGGGTTACAACAGCAACGGCTCCCGCTTGAGACTTCCTTACAATTTAGCCAGGACCCCCGCTCCCGCCCGAGATTTTTTCGCATTTTATTCAGGAATCGCGCTCTCGCTTTGGATTTCCGTACAATTTATTCAGGAATCGCTCTTCCGGCGCTCTGGAGTTGCGCTCTCGCTGGAGACTTGCTTGCAACTTACTGAAGAATGGCCTTGCGTTGGAATTTCCTGCAATTTGCCCAAGCGCCGCGCTCCCGACACCCAGGCACCCAGGAGTCGCGCCCGTTGTGGCCCCATGTGCATGCCCTTCGTGGCCCCGCTGTCGCCATTTGTGTCCCCCTCACTGTCCTACGTGGCCCAGTTGCTACCCTCAGTGGCCCCATAGTTGCCTTCTGTGGCCCCGCATTATCTGCACTTCGTGGCCCCCGCTCGTTCGCGCTCTTCGTGGCCCCATACGCATTCCCTTCGTGTCCCCGCTGTCGCCCTTCGTGGCCTACTTCGTGCCCTTCGTCGCCCTGCTGTCGTTCTCTCTCGCTCTCGCTTTCGCTCGTCGTCGCCGTCATCTTCGACGTCGTCGTCGTCGTCGTCGTCGTCGTCGGTCCCCCGTCCGTCCCTCTTGGGGTCGGGCCGACGGTCCGCGGCCGCCCCGCCGATCAGCGCTGCCGCTGGCCAGGCCGACGGTCCGCGGCCGCCCCGCCACTTGCCGGGGCCCTGCCTGCAGGGAAGAAAGGTATACCCCCGAAAAGGGGTTCGATCGAAGACGAAGAGGGCGGGTATCGAGGGTTTGGGAAATACGCGTTATAGTATATAAGGGCGAACAGTCTTAAAATGATTACAGTAGTAGTAGTAGTAGTAGTAGTAGTAGTAGTTGTTGTTGTTGTTGTTGTTGTTGTTGTTGTGGTTGTTGTTGTTGTTGCTGTTGTTTGTGTTATTGTTGTTGTTGTTGTTGTTGTTGGTGGTGGTGTTGTTGTTGTTGTCGTCGTTGTCGTTGTTGTTGTTGTCGTTGTTGTTATTGTTCTTGTTCTTGTTGTCGAATACTGATTGCTAAAGAATAAGTATTGCTGGTCTCCGGAAGCGGTTCCGCACGCTCTCGCCTCGACGCCAGCTATATTTTCTCTGAAAGCGAAGCTTCCGCTCGAGCTTTGGCTTGACCCTGAATGTGGGCCCTTGGAGGCTCAGCTACGACACCAACGGCTCCCGCTCGATACTTCCTCACAACTTACCATTTACCCGGAGACGCCCTGGCCAGAGAGGCCCTCGAACTCAGGAACGGCGCTCTCGCCCGAGACGTCTTTGCAATTCTATTTAATTGGCGGAGGCCCAGCCATGTCGACAATGGCTCCTGCTTGATACTTCCTCACGATTTACTCTGAGAGCCCTTGGCCAAGAAGGCCACCGAATTCAGGAACGACAGCGCTCTCGCTCGAGACTTTCCCGTAATTCAGGCATGTTGGTGGAGGTCCTGACACGGCGACAAGTGTTCCCGTTCGATATTTGTCGATAGGTATTCCGACAGCCCCTGGCCAGAGAGGCCCCCGAACTCAGGAACGTCGCTCTCGTTCGAGACTTCCTCGCACTTCAGTCAGTGGCTGACAAGGAAGAGGTTCCCCCCGAACGGGGGTGCAATCGAAGACGAAGTGGGCGGGTATCGAGGGTTGGGGTAAACGGGATGCAAGACACGCGTGCCAGTAAGAGCGAACAGTTTTAAAATGATTGAACTTTCGCTTCGGAGGAATAATTATTGTTGATCCCCCCTCACCTGTGCATATTGTTTTCTCAATCAAAGTGTGCCCCTCGACGCTCGCACCCTGTTTTTTGACACGGAAAGCCTTGGTGCTCAAATTGTGCCCCTGGCCCCCCGGATTACAACAACAACGGCTCCCGCCTGAGATTTCCCCCAAATTTACTCAGGACCCCCGCTCCTGAAACTTCCTCACGACTTACTCAGGATCGGTGCTCCCGCCTGTGACTCCCTCGCAATTTAGTCAGGACCCCCGCTCCCATCTGAGACTCCCCCACAATTTACTCAGGAACGGCGCTCCCGCTTGGGACCTCCTCGCAATTAAATCAAGACTTCATCGCAATTTAGTCAAGACCCCCGTTCCCGGCAGAGAATCCTTCACATTTTATTAAGGAATAGCGCTGTCGCTTGTGACTTCCATGCAATTTGTTGAGAAATCTCACATTCGACGCTCAGGAAACACGGTGCGCCAAGGACGCCGTTACAATTTACTTAGTAATCGCGCTTTCGCCATACTCAGGCATCCCGATTGAATGTCCCACCCGCCCGACCCGCCCGTCAGGGGATCGCCCGCCCGTCGTGGGCTCCCGCCCGGGACTTCCTTCAGGAACGGCGCTTTCGCTTAGGACTTCCTCGAACGTTCACGCTCTTACCTTCCTGCTCCTGTCCCTCCTCCCTCCTCCCTCCTCTCCTTCCTTTTCTCTTCCCTAATATTTATGCCTCTCTGCCCTATGCCCTCTCCCTCCTCTCCCTCCTCCCTTCTCCCTCCCCTCTCCTGCCTCCTTCCTCCCTCTTTTTGTTGTTGTTGTTGTTGTTGTTGTTGTTGTTGTTGTTGTTGTTGTTGTTGTTGTTGTTGTTGTTGTTGTTGTTGTTGTTTTCTCTCTCTCTCTCTCTCCTCTCTCTCCCGCTCTCTCTCTCTCTTTCTCTCTTTCCCTACCTCTCTTTTCTGTCTTTCTTTCTCTCTCTCCCTCTGCTCTCTATCTCTCTCTGCTTCTAATCAACCGCCCCCCTCTTCGCTCCTTCTCTCCTGGCGGTTTCCCTCTTCCTTCGTCCCTCCCCCTCCCTTCCTCCCACTGTCCCTCGTTCTCCCCCTTCTCCTTTTTTGCAGGGCCTAC